AGCTTTCGTGGTTGCCACCCCGAGATGATAGCGTTATGGTCCGCGGCTATCTGGTAACTTTTTTTTCGAATCGTAACTTTTACTATCTAAGCTTTCTATTGAGGTTCTTGTCAAAGCATGTTCGCAGTGCACATTGACACTGGATGGATTTTTAAGTTGCACTGACATCGCAAGAGCAGTAGGATAGATTGACGATTTTTCGTAAAAAGTAAAATTTCAGATTGGATGGGGAATAAATATTCCGGATGTGGACCAGGTGAAAGTGCCGGCCAACCTCAGGTTTTATACAATAGCGAATTTGAAACCTGGACGTGACTATGTGATTTCGTTACGAGCCTATAACGTTATGGGAAACGGTTTTCCGATCTACGAGACGATACGCACACTATCGCCGGATACGAAGTCTGGAATGTGGCAGCAAAATAGTGAAGGTTCCGGGCCCAGTGAAACACCGGTCGGCGTCCGAGCTCTAACGCTTTCATCCTCAGCGATCAAAGTTACGTGGACAGATGATGAACTGGAAGTACCGTATTCGAGGCAGTATACCGTGCGATATAGTTCCAGGTTGGTATAAGTAATAGCGGAATTATTAACTAAACAGCCGAATTAAAGAGCGGAATTATTAACTAAACAGCCGAATTAAAGAGCGGGATTATGAAAATAAAAAGATCTGTGGAAGAGCTGACTTGAAATGTTGGCCCTCGCAAAAAGTGATATCCTAGTTTTACTACCAAGAACTCCGATGCTACAGAAGATGGAGGTGATTCACGTTCGTAGTGTTACTGTGATGCTCTGGCGGACGTGGCTAGCTAACCACTTTCGATGCTGAGCTTACTTGGGTCTATTTTTCAAAGCATTTTTCACGATTCGGTGATTAAGATGTTTTCGAATTTTACCCTTTTAATTCACTGGTCAGCGTGAACAAACAATGAAACTGAATAATTCATTGGTGAAATTTCAGTGCGGAGAACGGCGGACAGCAACGCTACGTGAATACCTCAGAATCAGAAGTAGTTATTGAGGGATTACGGCCGAATACACAATACGAATTTGCAGTGAAGGTCAACGCCGGGAAGTGAGCTCTTTTTAGGGTTTTTAATATTCTTCTGCGCAAAAGGGAGATACGCATAGCCATTCCAGAAGCTGATGCTGTTTGCCCGTACTACCATTGGGATTACTTCCATTCATCTTATTCGCGTCTAACAAATTATGGGAGGTTTCGTTGTACACGGCAAGTGTTTAATGATTCATTTGCTCACGAGAAATGCCTGTGGGCAGGATCCGTCCGAGCATTAATATGTAGTTATCTACGAGATACATTTAATGAATCACTTTCGTGAAAGATTTGTGAAATTCGGGTGAATTGAAACGCTGCCAGGGAAAGCATTATTTACTTGTCTGGCCGAAGTAGATCCAACCGATGCGCGAAGGAACTCGTCGTAGCTAATATTTTTCAAGTCTGCAGCAGTTGCAGACAATTTGGCTTTGCCTATACTGAAATCTGTTATAGCTAAAAGCTTATAAAATAGATTCAAGTTATTGCCAGATTCCCATGCGTACGACAGCACAGATCGAAAAACATTCAAAAAACCCAGGCTGGAACGCACCAGGCGGGCCGGTGCGATCATGCGTTTTTGCACTTTTCGTGCC